ACATTCCTTGGATTTGCAATAATTTCAGACAAAAAAGCCCTAGATTTTCTGTTTTCCTGTTTTGGTTTTAAAACTGAAAAATGCTGTTATTTTGTTTTTCTTTTCTGGTTTTAAAACAAAAAAGACAACCTTTTGGTTTTCAATTCTGCTTTGAAATAGAAAAATGAAAGAACGATACATGGATTGGTGGTGTTGCCCTGTACACTGCCGTTCACTTCAGTTTATGTAGCTACATATCTAAATCAACCTGCAGAGTTTTACAATTTTCTGCACCACAGTCAACAACTGTTGTCTGTTTGTGTTGAATGTGGTTCATCATTTCCTGGTAATGGATTTGATATGACTCTGACCTCTTTAAAGGCTTGGCTCATCCATAAAACAGCCTTTAAGTCAAGTCAAGAATCTTTATTGTCATTATGCATAGCGCAATGAAATTTTTTTTCGGCAGCTCTCGGCTTAAAAGACAGACACATCATTTACATAACACACAATTGTATAAGTCAATATACAAATATGAACAAATAAAAAGGGATGTATGGGACCTAATCAGGTCAGCAGCATGTTAGCATCAAGAGTGTAGTAACATTATAAGGTGCAGCTCAGTGCAAATCTCAGTCTTTAGGAAGAGGTGTGAGGTCCAGGTCTGTGTCTGTCTATAGGGGGGAGGTTGTGTGTGTGACTAGGGGTTGGGGGGGGGTGATTGATTTCACAGCTCTGGGGAAGAAGCTGTGTCTCAGTCTGTTTGTTTTAATTTTTATATTCCTGTACCTTTTCCTGGAGGGAAGAGGCACAAACAGACTGTTATCAGGGTGGGTGGGGTCTGCAGCAATCTGTCCGGCCCTCCTCTGGATCCGGTCAGTGTATAGTGAGTCCAGATCCAGAAGAGGACTCCCTACGATGCCCTGAACTGTTCTCACCACCCGGGTCAAGTCCTTTCTGTCCTGTGCAGTGCAGCTCACGTACCACACTGTCGTACTGAGACAGAGGATGCTCTCTACTGTCGCTCTGTAGAAGTTTGCGAGCAGCTGAGAGGAGAGACCAGCACGTTCCAGCTTCCTGAGGAAGAAAAGCCTTTGCTGGGCTTTCTTCACCAGATAGGATGTGTTCAGAGACCAGGCCAGGTCAGATGTGATGTGGATGCCAAGGAACTTGATGTTATCCACTTGCTCCACCACCTCCCCGTGTATGAGAAGAGGAGCATGCATTGTCTTCCTGGACCTCCTATAATCCACAATGACTTCCTTAGTCTTGTTGGTGTTCAGGACAAGATTGTTATCTGAACACCACCTTGTCAGGTGCTGGATCTCCTCTCTGTAGTGAGTCTCATCATTGTCTGAGATGAGACCCACTACGGTGGTGTCGTCTGTGAACTTCACTACTGTGTTTGTGGGGTGAATGGCATCACAATCATGGGTAAACAGAGTGAAGAGAACTGGGCTGAGCACACAGCCCTGTGGTGTGCCTGTGTTCAGGACCAGTGTGGATGATGTGCAGCTTCTGATTTTCACCACTTGAGGCATGTTAGTGAGGAAGTCCTTAATCCAATGACACGCCATTGCAGGCATTCCCAGATTGTGCAGTTTCAGTGCCAGTTAACTAAGGGTATTTTCTGTCCACAAGTTTCCCTTTACCTCAACCTGAACTAACTATGTTGTTAAACCAGTTGTCTCTGTTACACTCAACAATAACCATGCTCATTTTAATGGGAGCAAACTGTGTCTGAAGGGGGGCAGACTTCAGGGAACAAGGATCTGGGGTGATCAGACTGAATGGTTAGACAGTTGTTGGGAAATGACTACTATAAAAGTTTAAAGTTGTTTTTTTTTATGCAGAAGTGTCAACTATTCAGTGTCAGCCTCTCTTCTAGGTCCGGATGTGAAAATTCAATGTCTGTGTTTTGGACAGTAGATTCGACTAAATCAGTGGTCCCCAACCCCCGGGCCGCGGACCGGTACCGGTCCGTGGATCAATTGGTACCGGGCCGCACAAGAAATCATTAATTATTTCCGT